ATTTTTTTTATTTTTGTTTTTTTAATAATTAGTCTGCTCTATATAAAAAAAAAAACGTATGCCTAATATTTGTTATAATATCCATCTAAATTTGTTCATCACAAACAACAAATTAAACCTAATGATTCATATATTATATTGTTTGCCTGGTTTATTCTTCTCTTAACAATTAAAAAAAATTTTAGTGTTATCATCTAGGTATCTATAAACATATATGTTTTAGTATCATAAAAAAAAAAAATGTTTTTCCAAAAGAAGATACAGAGTAAAGACTACAATTCTACAAGACAGTATATTATCTGCAATCTGCTTGATGCAAACGAATTGAGTAAAACTACAATATATTATATTAKATTTAACTACTTGAGAATGAATGTAATTTTAAAGCAATGATTTTATTAAAATTAAAATTATATATTATATACCTATATATTATGTTAAATAGGAATAAATTTTATAGCAAATTATGAATGACACTCTATATTTTAATAAAATTGTGAAATTTTAAAATAAATGATAATATAATAATGAGTAACTGTTTACAGAAAATGATAATAACTAATATAACTAATGGTGCTTTATTTTTGAAAGTTTAGGCAATTAATATTTTTTTAAATAATTAATTAAATAAAAAGAAATAAGGATATCATTGTAAAACCAAATAATCTCAAATAGCATTATAATATAGTAAACACTTTTTGAAAATATAAAGACATCTTTATGATGATTCGTTTCTAAATACTATAAAAAGTAAATGAAAACTAAAATGAATATTTAAAATAGTTTGATAACTCCTATTTTATCACGGGTTTTTTAGATTTCTAAATTATTAGGAAAATTGTTGATATTTCTCAGCTTTTAATTCACTCCAAGTAATAGTATCCTACCAATAACCAATTCTACAAGAAACCACCCTCTATTTTTGAAGATTTTCTAAGTTTTTTTTWAAATTTTCTAATTTTCTGCTCCAAAAGGTTAACTTAACCAATATATTTATAATATTATATAAATAGTAGTAATATAGTTTATCATATCATCAGTTTTATAAATATTTTTTTGATTTTATAAAGAATAATAAGTATAATACATAATATGAAATTACCCATTCTTATGTGTTTAGTTGGTTCATATACCAACCACTCATATACTTCGTCAGAAATGACTAGAACATTATGTTTTTTGGCCAAATCTGCTATCATCATCAACTCGTCGTAATCAAATACTTTTCCCAATGGATTATGTGGTGTATTTACGATGATGAGTTTGGTTTTGGAATTGAATAATGATGCCAGTTCTTCTGGATCAAGCTTCCAATCGCTTGCTTTTGGTAATGATGCATTCGGTCTTGTCTTTAAAAATAATATGAAATGATGTACAAATTATTTATTCTAAAAAATCAATTATTTGTAGTATGTTTTTTATATTCCTACATTTCTCAATGGTATAAATCTAGGAATGCCGCCAGCTGTACGTATTATGGGTTCATAACAGTCGTAAAAAGGTTCAATGATAATTGCTTCGTCTCCGTTCTCTATATTACTCTGTATGGCACAATAAAGTGCTTCATATGCTCCAACAGTTACCAATATTTCATTTACGGGATCAATTTTTCGGTTAATCAATTGTGAATATAAGTTAGATAAAGCTCTCACTAAACGTAAATGTCCCTAGAATTTAAAAAATTATTTTTTAAATTCTTTTAAGAGTACCTGTATGTTATTTTTTACAAATTAATATAACATTACAAATCCGCGTGTGTATTGATGGAAATATGAATTCTTTTCTATAGCCACTTCAGATAAGAAATTTGAAAACCGTGATGGTGGATCATAATCCGGAAATCCTTGCCCCAAATTTAAACATTTTGTAGTTACAGCTAATTGACTAAACTCAATCCTTTAAAAATAAATGTAACTTAATATGTAGGATATATTTAAAATATAAAAATGTAGCAGTTGTTTTTAAAAATAATCTTAATAATAAAGTGTGTCTAGAATCATGATAAAGGAACTTAACGGTGATTAAATTATGATTATAATAGAAAAAAATTAAATATTGGTCATTACTTAATAAAGTATTAATACAAGTTGGTACTTGGTTATAATATGGTATAAAATATTAACAAAACTCATTTAAAAATAAATGAATACATTTTTTTTTATAGGCTTTTGGGTCACACATAATATTATATATTAATTTGTGCAACTTAGAAATTTTTTTTACATAATACCCAAGTTAAAATTCTTTTAAGATTGCATCCAATACATTTTTTTTTCACACTATCTGTATTCTGTGTAGTGAATTAAGCAAAAACGCATTTGCATCAACTAAATTATTAAACCAAGGTTAGGTTAAAAATGGCTAAATTTGTATGTAGGTACAACAAATTTAAAAAAAAAAGTCATTCATTTGTCGTTTTATCTACATTTATTATAAATAGGTATCTGTAGGCACATGTATTTTACTTTTATTACAATTATTTTTCAAATTAACTGGAAAAATGTAAGTTGTAACAGTGTATCTTTTAACTGGTTAAATTATTAAATTTAGAAAATTAACTTACCAGTTAATTTTAAAAGTTTATAAAATGAATATTTTTTTTTTAATTAGCTTTTACTTTATAGTTAGTTAATAGTCCATATTTTYGAATTTTGAATATTATTTATTTAAAATTGTATTCAACTGTAGACTAACAATCTGTCAAACAATTAAATGTATAGCAAGAAAAAACAGATATAGACTTCCAGTAAACATAGTATTTTTTAAATAATATTCTTTGGTAATAAATACTCACCAAACATTGTATATGGCTGCTTCATGGCGAGACGGTAACTTGAATTTCTCTGTTATTTTTGAGGTCATATTAACTGATGTCGATATTTTTTTCTTTAATAAACAATTTGTAATGGTTCGAAAACTATGAGCTCTTATAGTAGAACTAGTGTACAAAATTACCCTTTAAACATAACAGTACAGTAAAATACAATTAAAACATTCATATATTCCTCAATTAATAAATAATATTTCAATTTACAGATCAATTAATCGAACAGCTAGGAGCTCTCATTATTTCAATTTTTTTTTTCTACAAGTTACATTAAATTCTAATTTAAATTTTTTTATCTTTAGCAAAATAGTTTCCTAAAAATGGTGATATATTATTCTCAAATATTTTATTTTTTATTTTTCAACGTACCATCTACTCTGTTTCAGAGTATAATATAAAAAAATTAAGAAAACATTTTTATGGTAGGTAGGTACAAGGTAGTGTTTTTAGATAATATCAAATACCTAAAAGATAATATAAGTGTCCATAMGTTTTGAAAAACCTTAATAATTTAAATATTGAGAACTCACTATTAAAATAATCACCCACAATACTTATTCATAGCCTCCTAGATATATTATAGATATTTATAAAATTATAAATCAAGTCACATTTTCTTACAAGTTGTACCTAATCCATGTAATACTTAATACTTTACAATATTATATACATCGAATAGTATATTAAATATAGTATTGATATTCGTTTCTTAATTTCTTAGTTTATAGATATATAGATATAGTGTATAAAGTATATAGATGATAAGTGTATAATATTAATTATCCAAAACGCCGATATATCGGAAATTRTAAACATTTTATAAAACAGTTAAATAATTTAAAGAACTTACATATTGTACCACAGTAGGTACAAGAAAAATACACTGTTTCTACGTACTTGCTAGTGTGGCCGTATGATTAATATTTGTATGTAGGTTACGACGTATCTATCCGTAAGCTGTTTAGAACATTTCAGTCGTTTCAGAACGTGATAAACTGTTACGAGTTTATGACCCAAAAAGATAAAGTATARTATTATTATATTAAAATATTATTATCAAAGAATAATAAAAAAAAAGAATCGATTACGAGTCAGATTGATTACCTACACAAACGCAACTTTTAAACAAATAACAATATTTACGGTTGTTAAAATCATTATTACCGATGTGGCAATATTATTCATCAATATAATTAATATTAATAGGTATGTAATTTATACCTACTTTTGACTTGTGAACATAATATAGGTTATATCACTTATATCTATCTAATATCCGAAGTGTTGACTAGTCATATTGATTTATTTTGATAGCGTAGGTAGGTTACSTAACCTAACCTACCATCAGGGGCGTATTTAAGGGAGGGGCACATGGGGCCTGTGCCTCCCCCATTCGCCGTATATTATACTTATTTTTATTATATGAGAAATTTTACAACTCTACGCCCCATGTACGCAAATTTGAACTTTTTGCTTGTGCCCCCCCCC